CACTCTGGACAACCGGACTGTGTGGTTGAAAGCAGTGAATGGTAGAAGATTGTGGGGGATTTTGAGGCAAAAAGTGAGAATGGGTGGGGTGGGAAGGGGTGCAGTGGGGGCTGCAGTTGCAGAGAGACATTTAGCTAGAAGTCGGGAAAAGAATGGTGGAGAATGCCTGAATTATTTGGAGGATTGGTCCAGCACCCAAGCACCAAGGTTGAAAATACCTTTCGGAGGTACACTGCCTACCCTACCCTTGTGGATCAACCCCCTCCATTCTGGTGCCCTCCAAATTCTGTTGAACTTCAAATCCCACCATCCCTCATCATTGGCCATACTCACTGGGACTGATAGTAGCACTTGGGGGGCAGCAGGTGTTGGGAGCTAGGCTCCCCCCTTCATACATTAAAAGCAACAGACCATTCTTTGGCAAAAGTTCTTTATTCTCTAAAGTACACCCAGTAAGCACAATCACCACAGAATGTGTTTCTGAGCATGCACAAAGTATTTGTTGTACCCAATCTAGCAAAACTTCTGAGGACCCTCCTTTTGAGTAACCTTGTACCGTCTCCCTCTGGGAGGGCCCTTTTGGAGTGGGGCAAGCCTCTTAGCTGCGTGCCACCCTTCTAGTTGGCTATTCGTTGTCTTCCAATACCATGTCATGGGATCAAGAGTTGTACCAGGCTTGTCTGGATCCTGGAGCTTGTGTCCCATGCTCCCTCCTGGCAGTTGTACACCCTGGCTATCCCACTTGAACATCTGGAGAGGGCAGACTTGAGATAATCCCTTACATTTCTCCCATTTTGATAAGTGGAGGCCCAGTTTCCAGGGTGCATCTGAAGAGTCCAAATCTTCCTGACTTTGAAACTTGCACCAAGCACAATGACCTCTTATATCCCCAGTAGCAGGTTGGGAGTAGCTCATACTAGGCTATGAGAATAAAGCAGTTTCATTGGCCTATAGGACATGCTTAAAAAAATTATGCATACAACCTCTCACCCCCATGAAAATCTATGCTAGGTATATCAGGGTTTAAAAGGATCAGGCAGGGATGGATTATAATACAAAAGGGAACTCTCTTTGCTTATACATTCTGTGAGTGAAAGAAAGAACCTGGGGAGGCAGAGATTTCTGGAGTTGTTTTGCTCTGCAGAAATGCAGCAAGAAGCCCCTGTGGCTATGTAATTGCTAAGTGGAATTACATAATTTTGCTTGTTGGCTTCTCTGTTTTTTTGGCAGCTTTTTCATACATTCCATTAACTTGGGCTTTACCTTCTCCTGCATTCAAGAATGTAACTGTATGACTTTCCCCACAAAGATGAAGGAAAAGAGTCTCAAAAGGAGTACAACTGATGGGCTAATGGGGCAGTGTCATCGATGGGCAATTTAAATTCTTAAATTTTTGAGGTTCTGAGTTCAAATCCTTGTCTGGAATATGCAACAATTCATGCTTTTTGTTTAGTGCTTCAGTGATTAGGCCGCTGAAAAGGTGATTGAGTTGATTCAGTTTGCAAATATACAGAGCCAGCTCCTCTCCCCAAACTTGTGGCTTGCTTTTCTTTTTGACTCCTTGGATCATGTGGTCCCTCCTGTGTTTGTGTCTGGTGCCAGGTTTTCTTTCTTCCCCCATCCTGGATTCAAATTGATTTTAACTTCCTCCACTGAAGCTGCACCATTCTGCTGCTGACACTTTTGTCCACAATGTGAACATCAGTTTCTACAATAATATTATACCAGAAGTGATAACAAACAGCTAACTGGTCTTTTAAACACTTGCCTCATAATAAAATATTTCCCCTTATTATAAACAGAGTTGTGCATATTGCACATGACTAGAAATTGAGGACAGGTTAGTGGACAGATGTAACGCACCAGCCCTCCCTCTCCCCTTCAGGTACAATTCTTACCTGTTCCAACTGGCATGCCAGTGGTCAGAGAGAATTGTAGGCTGGGGAAAGATAGGGATACCTATGTTACTAAAATTTGATTGTTATTGGATTTATAACTTGGCATCCTGCAAATGTCAACTTTTGCTTTAAAGAAGAAAGTTTCAGTCCATTGTGCTGAAAAAAATAGGCAGTGAGGTGAAATTCTGTAAGCCAAACTTTGTATTTCCAAGGGATCTGTGCTCATGCCAGGAGCATTTTTTTTTTTGCTAAATAAGTCATTTTATGCAAATATTCTAATTTTATCAATGCCAGACTGAGGAGGTTTGCTCTCTGATGTCAAGACAACCAGCAGATGAGTAGACAAATAGACATGAAGTATAGAGTGAAGTATGTTTGTTTGATCTAGTGTAGAAGCCCTACATGTGGAGTCCACCCTGACTGAGACCAGGAACAGCTTTATCAAAACATGCTTGAAGGCGCCTTGCTGTATGTAAACCACCCCGAGAACCTTTTGTTCAAAAGTGGTAGATCAGTATTTAAAATAAATAAATGTTATGCCGATCACAGGATTCAGCTTTTCTTGGTGCACAATTTGGATGGTTTTAGCACAGATCATTGCTTATCATGGATACATCATATTTTGAGGTCTCATTTGTCCCCACACAATTTATTGCAAGGGCCACAGCAATTGAAAGCAATCTGGTTACAAGCTGGCGAGACGAAGGGGTGCATAATTCCCCTCTAAAGTATAGAGTGTCATGTTGCAAACCTTGGGCATCCCACAGGGGCTGGTGGGAAGAATACGGAGAGCCTTTAGATTACATATCGGACTTGGAGGTTGCATTCCTCTGGTTTACTGATGGAATGTGGTTACTGGGGGAGCTCCTGTGTAGACTTGCTAGATCAACATCTTGCATCCCGTTGGGAAGACTTTTACAATAAGGGTTGGAAGTGTGACTTGCTCAAGGAACTCTAGTTTACAAACAGTGTGAAATTCCCCTTTGCTGCTTGTCCATGTTGAAACCTGCCAGGAACTGACAGTGATAGAACGTGCTGCTGCTGCTGCTGCAGGTTTTGTAGAAGTTGTGGTGTGATAAAGGTGCTGGGAAAGAATCTCTGACTTGGACCACTGCTACATGAGCTCAAAATGCTCCCCCCCGCCCCAGTGTATCATGTCACTGGACTCATTCCTTCCATTCCACTGCTTCTCCGTGCCACCATAAACTAGGGCTTTGTTCCAGACAAAGCGGGGAAGGAAGCTTTCCATAGTTGCCAAGCAGTTTTCAAGAACACTTTTTTTTTTGCTATTTGCTTCTACTGTTCAGGAACTAGAACTGGAATGAAGTGGGGAGGTGGCGGAAAATAAATGTGAAATGCTGCTCTGTTAAATTGAGGAGAGAAACTAGTGAATGTGTACTTCATGCTGTTCATTGTTTTGTATTGCATATAAAATATTTGTGTGGTAATTTATTTTGTGAACTGTTTGTATTATATTTTAGTCTTTTAGTCTCTTTAGTTACACCCAGAGAACATTTATTATTGGGCAGACTTAAGATATTTCTTTAAATGCAGTAAAATAATGTAACTAAAATCTTCATTCCTTGCATGCTTTCTCAAACATGTGGCTGGTGTCACTGAGAGAAAGTCTACATGTTCAAATCCAACCTATTTGAACTCCACAGTTGTTTGTTTTTCTCCCTTTTTGTTCTAGCAACACTTATAATGAGCTCCAAGTTGCCCTAAATCAGACTTTTCTTGCATTGGGAGTATGTAGTAATTTTTATGTCCAGATTCTTATCAGTGAGGAGCTCTTGGTTTTTGTTCTGCCTCTTAGGGTAAATTTAGAAGCTTGTTATGTTAGAATCATTTCCTAAACTTAAATCTCAATCTAATGAGGCAATGATTCCACTACCACTCTTAAGCTTTCTCACTGTTACTTGTTGGATATTGGCTGGACCTGGTATAGAAATGGAGAGGAGGTTAGCAATATTGGTGATGGTAATCCCATTCATGTGCTGTCCTTCCTAGATGGAGCTCAGGGGGGCATAATTACAGGTTCTCCTGTTTTATCCTCCCAACAGCCCTAGGAAGTAGGGATGTAACCAGCCTAACATTCTCCTCTGTTGAGCAGGCCATGACGGAAAAGGCTTCTAGCATTTTTACCTGGGCTGACCATTACAGAGGTCCAGATGCCTACACATGCTGCTGTCTGCTTAAGGCATTGATGTGTATATCACTGAGGTTTCCATGCCTGAAGAGAGATCTGAAGAGTACACACTAGCCTATAGTTTAACTTTTTTTCAGCTAAATAAATATTTTTAAGTGATCCAAATCTGGTATGAGTGGACATGCTTGTTTCTTTTATCCCATTACCATCTCTAGTCAAACATTTTTATTGGGATTTTTTTTGGCGGGGGCGGGGCACTGTGGTAGTGGTAGGGGAACCGCAGAAGCTTGCCAGACACTGTATTATTTATTTGATGTATAATGTCACCTTATTCCAACTGGGTAGATTTGATGCAGAAAATAAATTCAGCTGAAAAGTTCATAAAAATTAAAATAGGGTTTTTACAAGCTTATCAATTCCCCTTACCACACCATGTTTAATTCTTGTGGAAAAGCTGAACTCTTTCTCTCCATATTGGATTTCCAACTGGAGTCCTGGGTGCCCTGACAAAGGATTGGCTTGGCTTCTGTCATGAAAGAGGCACTGAGGCCAGGGGCACTGGGAAATTGGATACTATCCAGGAATATCCCAGTGCCAAGATCTTTAAAAATGCTCCCTGTCTTCTCCACCCATACATGTGGAAATGTACTTGCTGCCAAGCAGACCCTTTTCTGATCTTGCAAAAGTTGTATTCATCCTATAGAACTCTCTCTGTCCTGTGGTCCTCCAGGTATGTTGGACCAGCATAGATAGTTGGGAGTTGCTGGGAGTTGTAGTCCAAAATATCTAAAAAGTGCTAGATTGGAGAAAACTGATGCTGTGTGAGTGTATGTGTGTGGAGAAAGAGATGGACATAAGGGTAGGAGGGAGGTAGAGGGGATTTTCCTTCTGCTCCAGATTCCATCTGTACCTTATGATTTGCTAACTCTTCTCTTTGAATTGTTCTTCAACAGCCAAAGCTGGGCCAGAGAGATGGTACAGCCACAAATGCCAATGCGGCCCCTGTGGAATCCTTCCCCTGGGTGGGGCCGAAGACGGTGGTGCTGCACAAGAACACACAGGGGGGTTATGGATTCACCCTCCGCCATTTCATTGTCTACCCCCCAGAGTCAGCAGTTCATTCCAACATGAAGGTAATGACCCTCTTGGATCCAGTCAGGTCAAGGAACCTTTATTGGCATAACACCCTCCTGATCTGTGGAGTGTGCAGGGTGTGTTTCAGAACTGTGCATGTAGCAATAGCCCTGGAAATGGTTTTGGGGGCACATGGTGCCACGCTTTTACTGAGGCTGAGCAGGTCTGGGTCTGGTCAGTAGGGTAGGACCACCTGGGAACTTTCATGTTGTGCCAGTTTGAAGCTCCCATATACTGAGCTGGATTGTTTGTCTGCCTAACCCACAGCTTCACTTTCTTAGCTTCACTTCAGAGGTGGACAACTTTTTAGGGTCCAGTGGCTGATTTCCCCCAGGAACCCATCAGGGACTGTATTTTCTCCGGGGCCACAATTCACTGAAATGCAGTATTGGCAAAAAAGTGGCGATTTCTCATTAAAACAAGGCATGCAGGAAGCAAAGCACATATTGTACCACTGAGCTACAAGTCTGTGGGCATATTTTTATTTCTGATGAACTGGCTGGATGTAGTGGTTTCATCCTTTGTCTTTAGGCTTATTTGCTTTGACCCACTTTGACCCTCGCAAATTTGCTGAGCTTGTTGATTTGTACCTTGTGCCCATGGCTGCAAATTCCACAAGTTTGCTACAAACTGCCCAAAGCAAATCCAGCTGCTAACAAATCCAGTTAACAGCTTTTTTTGATTTATTACCTGTCAGCCTCCAGGGGATCTTTTTTCTTTCCTTTTTCAGAAGGTAATTTTTATTGACTTCTCTGTTTCCTTCCAGTGCTATCCCTAGTTATGAGTGTATCTAATCTCTGGTTGATGATCTTTTAGAAGTCCGACATACATAACTGAAGTTTTTGTTCCTGCTTTCCCTGAATTTAAATAAGCTTGATTTTTGAATGCAGAAACAGTTTCCATTGGGTTTGGAATTTTGCAGAATTTAGCCCACAGGAGTCTGCTGCATTTGGCCTGCACACTATCTTGCATCAGGATCAGGGACACAGCCTGCTGGATTTGTTTCCTTTAAATTGGATTTTGATCCAAGATATTGTAATCTAGTTTAGACTTCCTGCCATTCCCTCTTCTGACCAGCACACAGTAATTTAAGAAATGTCAAATGCATGTCAATAATCATAAATTCAGCGGCTCTATTTGCAAACACGTTTCTTACAAATAGTCTTACCAGAGAGCCAGGATTTTGCTCCTGTTGAAAGTAAGCTCTGTGGCAAAGCAGCATGTGCAACCAAGTTAAAAATAATGGAAGATATAGTTGTGGCTCTTTTGTGTTATGTATCACTTCGCCCTTAATGGCAGGGAGAAGGGTTCTAGCTTGACTTTCTACCTGACAAGCTAGTTTTCTCTCTATTGTGCTCTCACTCCCTCTTTCAGAGGAACATACCATATGAACACTACCATTCTGCCTCTCATACTTTGTTTCCTTGCAATGTGGGTTTACATAACCCTTCTTCTCCTCTCCATATTATCCTCACAACAGCACTTTGAGGTAGGGAAGGTAAGAGTCAGTGACTGGCCCAAAGTCCCCCATAAGCTTAATGGCTGAGTGGGAGCTAAAACCACCACTAGAATGCTACCCTCAAGACCTGAAATTGAATTTGGCTGCTTGGGCATTCAACATGCTGCTTTATCATATCTAGGAGGATGCAAGGAGTGCCACTGTCTTTGGAAGTTGCCCCCCCCCCCCAGCATAGTTCCAAATTCCCTGGAACTTTTGCTGATGTCCCATTTCATTCAGATGAAATGTTTGGCATAGAAGCATCATCTCTGCAAAAGAGAGCCAGCTTTCCGGCTCTCACAGATCAGAGACCTCACTCCTTTTTTTTTCTTTTGTCATTTCTGAAAGGGAAAATGGATTCTTTGCCAGATAAGTTCAAAGGCATTGGATGTTGGTGGGGAGGAGATGGGATTGGGGTAGGCATTAAACCGCTCCCTGTCTGTCCTTTTCTGCAGTGTCAGCTTTATCTGGACAAAAGGGTAACTGTTGTGGTCCATGATTTGGACAAAAGACTGTCTCTCTTCCCTCCCCCATTCCCTTCCACCGTTTAGACAGAGCCATCCAAAAGTAGTCTGTATTAACTGTCCCTGAAATGCTGAAACTCTCAAATCATCAAGAAATGATTTTTGGTATTGGGAGAATCCTGGCCAGAATGTGGAAGTGCAGGACAGTAATAATACGCTGAGGATCAGAGCCCCAGAGGGGAGACAGGCAGACAGCACACTGCAGGCAATGGCCAGGTCTAAACAGGGAATCCTTGAGGACAGAACAGCAAACCAACCACCAGGAACCCTTCCCAGGCTTGGAGAAGACGTTGGACATAGCATCACACTGAATTTTGGAGGTGTTCAGAGGGTGTTAAAAGTATTTTGGAAGGAGCTGATCTGTCTGTATGGTAAACAATGGCTGTGCAGGTGGTGGAGATGAAGCTAGGTAATGCAAGGAGGATGGAGCATAGGAACCTGTCTTGTAGTGAGTTGGCTCTTGAGCCAGCTCAGTATTATCTGCACAGTGACTGGCAGCAGCTCTCTTGGTTGCTGCTATCTAGAGATGCCAAGGATGGAACTGGGGCCCTTCTGTGTATTAAACAAGTGCTCTACCACTGAGCTATGGCAACTCAAAGAGGAGTCTTGCAGAAAGCTGATGAAAGAGGTCAAACGGGTATGCAATTTATGGCCCACTACATGCTTTGGTCTACATCAGCCCAAACCAGCAGAGACAGAGGGTGAGGGCTCATGGGAACTGCATGTCAAAACATCTGAAGAACCACAAGTATCCCAGTCTCGGTTTGGAAAGTAAAACAGAGTAGAGACCTAGCAAAAGGCAGAGTACCCTAGCAACATATCTTTGCTTTGCTGCTTGCACTGTTTGCCACCAATGACTGAGTACACGTGAGTTGTGCCCACAATTTCTGGCTGTCTTTGGTAGTCAGCCAAAATCTGTGGCAAACACCACCCTTTGTCCCTTACCTACTTTGGCGAAGATGTGGGATATGAGATCACACTGAATTTTAGAGGTGTTTAGAAGCAGCAAGACATTTTGCTGCTTTCAAAGTCCAGCATGACTGGAACTGTGATTGGGTCTGAGATGTGATGTGCTTTAGAGGCATTTGGAAGATGCATAATGTCTTGCTGATACTGTTTTGCTGTTTCAAAGTACCTCCAGATCTCATAATAAATTGCTTAATTACACGTTTGCCACTGGTAGTTTGGCAGACACATTTCCAGACCCCAGATTGACCTCAGCCTTCTCCTGGGATATGAGAGATATTTTCTACTTTCCATTTTCAGATTTTTAAAAAATTAGTTCAATGAAGTAAAGAGGAAAAAAAGAAAAAACACTTTATATAATCACAACCTAAAAACCCACCCAAACTGTTTAAGTGCCATTGTTTTCTCTGGCTTTTGCTGCTTTGGCACATTTTTCCTTCTTGACTACTGCCTCTTTTTAGTTCCTGGATTCATCACAGGGTCATCCCAGCCACAGGAATTTTACAATGAAAAGTAACATCTTGATGCTATATTGGCATCTTGATGCCAATTAGATTTGGTCACTTACTTATGTCACTGAGATCAAATGAAGTCAGTTGAGGATAAGGGGCAGTGTAGAAGAATTAGTGGAACTTTTACACAGAATCCTGTGTAAATTGGAGGCTTTTTCTTTTGTTCCCCTGCTGAAAATATTTGTGATATGCTTCATCTCAGTACTGATCTTATTCTTCTTCACAAACCAAGACCTTTTGTTGTTTTTATATAATGCCATCAACACATGTGGCATTTAGAGGGAGAACAAGTCAAAAACTCATCCTTGCCTCAAAAGAAAATTAAACCAAGGAGAAATCAATAGGATGAAGGGAAAGAAAACACAGGATGAATGTAATTAAAGACAGCTCACACGTGCTTTGTCTTTGCTCATTACATCAAAACTGCATATTTAGCATAAGCTTATTAGCCAGATCACCCAAAAATAAAAGCAAAGGAATAGAACCCACAGTGGAATGTCAGCAGTCTATTTGGAATGCCTCCATCTCCAGAGCAAGTAGCTCTGGCAGGGTGGGTCTCCAGATACAGAGGCTGGGTTTCGACTGAGGTGATTCACTGGGGTGGAAGCAGGCATTCTTTGGCAGCTGTCATCAGTGACTTCATCACTTCCTCGAGCCCTGCAGGGTGATAGACACAACAGGTTACCTCATACACATGGAGAAGAGAATGGGGATAGAGGCCCGCCATTGCCGATGGGAAAACACAACCCACCAAGGAATATGTGGGAGGAAAGAGGACGTTGACTCAAAGAAACACCCCCAGCCCTGGGCTCTACACCTTTTCTAACTCCACTTTTTGTTTCTTCTGAAAATTCTCTTGTCAGCCAATATGCAGACTTTACCTTTATATAGAATTCAGTATAATGAATGAAATACATTAAAAACAGAGCAGCAGCAATATTAAGAACACCAGCAATATTAAGCTCTCAAGGACCTTGCTGAAGGAGAATATTTTGACCAGCCTCCTAAACATATTCAGTGAGGTGAAGAGATATGGGGCACCACACCAACAGCAGGCATCAAATATCCTGGCCTGTTAGCTATAGACAGTAAGCTGAAGACTACTTCGTCCCTCCTCCAGTGAGGACTTGAAGGGATGGTGGAGGACAGGAGAGTCTGGAGGAATGTTGTCCATGGGGTTGGGCACGACTTCATGACTAACAGCAACAATTATGCCTCAAGCAGTCTGGAATTTGCACTCTTGTTTTGTAAATTCAAAACACTTTGGTGCATTTAAAAATTTAAGTAGACTTTGTAATGTTGAAAGTCTGCACTATCTCTGCACTAGTCTCTGCACTATCTTAGAACTAGTGGCCAAAAGGTATGGAGGCCCTTTCACATTTCCCTATTGAGCTGTCTGCCTGAACAGCAAAGCATTAATGTCCTGCTAGTTGTGGGAGGAGGATGTTCTCTATGTAAATATACCCCACATCACATACCGATTAAGCTGTCTAAATTCA